CTAGGGAAGCTCCTGGATGTCTGTGGAGGAGCCTCTTGTCCCTTTGCTTCTCCCCTTTCCCTATCCCTATCTTCCCATTTCTTAGGTAGCAGCACCATGTGGGTATCTGCAGTCGAAGTTAGAGAAAGGAGCTTCACTCCCACCATGGCCAACAGAGCGAGACAGTGACTTTTCTGCTGCAGAAATGCAAGGCACAGATTGCACAGATGGCCTCACCTCCAGCAGAGCCCACATGCAGCTCACAGCTTACAGCTTGTGGCTCAGGGAAGTTGAAAGGAGTTGTGAGAAAATAAAAAGGCTGATGGAACCTTGCTGGCTGGCTGACCATCTAAAAGCTCCTTGAGAATCCCCTGATAGGAACCTCATAGCAGGTGTCCAGGGAGGATATTAAGAAAGATAAGTAAGAATGTTGACATGAACTAATAAATACACATCTATAATTATTGCAGCATTGTTTGTAACAAAGAGTTGGAAACAACCCAAGTATCCATCAGTGGATGAATCACTAAAGAAACTGTGGTATATAATGGTGCACCACTGAAAAATGTTCAAGAATCCATGAAAGGTTGATGAATCGTGAACAAATTATACCAGGGGACATAAGCCAGTCACAAAAAGAAATCCTGGTATAAGACCACTATTATAAAAGCATGGAGAAAGGTTTACATACAGACAAAATCAATCTTGGAGAGATAACAGGAATGGAAAGGGAGGGAAAAGAGAATAAAAACTAATAAATAGATATGTTGGGTGAAGGGAATGGCAATACAGAAAAAGTGGGTTGATCATAGATTGTAACTAATTATTTTAATCAATAGTAATTTATAGGGGTTGGGCTGCGGTGGTAGTTTAAAAACTGGCTTTTCTAGCTTACTTTTCTGCTGGTCTTTAGCTACCTTAACTGCAGACACATGGTCTTGCAAATCATCAACGGCTGTGTAACTGAGACCCCAGTGACAGCGGTGGTGGAGAGATTGTGGACAGGCTGTGGCATTGTTGTGGACAGACTGTGACAAGTTATAACCTGAAGCTTCTTGCATTTGTGCTTGCCACAGTTAAAGATTTTGCAGAAAAGGGGGAAAAATAGTGATTAATGTTATAAAACAAAATGTCTATAGACTAAGAAAAATCAATATGTAAGAAATATAAAGATTTAAAATTTTGCATATTCACATGCAATAAAATTTTTTAAATTTAAAAAACCCAAAATTATTTATAAACCTTTACACAAAGACAATTTTTTTTAAAGTACTAAAACAAGAGAGAGAAGGTGCAAGATGAGGTGAAAGAGAGCAGGACTCACTTTGTAGGGTCAAGTAAAAGAGTTTTGTTTTATCCCAAGAAGTGGCTGTACACAATTTTTGGAGACATAATTAACAAGATAAATTGCAAACTTAAAAAACAAAACAAAAACAAAAAAAAACAGATAAGAAACCAGCTACAGTTTTGAGCTGACCTTAGAAGAAACTGAAGCCTGGAAAATAATCCTGCCCTTTGGGTCTTACCACCCCGCCCATTGAAGAAATACCCTTTGCCTCTTGATGGACTTTGCCAATCCCTAGAGATTAGAGGTGGTGGGGAGACCTGGTCACCAAACTAAAGCTATACAGTTTTACCTGCACTTGAAAGTTTCCCACAGAAAATCCATTCCTAGAATGCATTTGACCTTGAAACTGCTTGGGCTTCCAAAGGCAAGGACACACTGATCAGAGAATATACCAAGGGGTAGATTCTCATGGGAGACTTTCAGCTGCAGGTGAAAATAGAAAAGGAGTCATAAACATAATGTCAGAAACTGTTAGCAGAGACCCAGGCACATGTGCTGCATTCGACTTGGCTAATGTGTGCTCTAGCGTCTTCCTACTCCCGTTTGCTCCAGACTAATTTGTCTTCACTCAGGAGGGGCAGCAATGGACATTCTTGGTACTGTGCACAGCCCTGTGGTGTGATAGGTTTGCTAAGGATTTGACTCTTTTTTTCTTTCCCTATACCTATTGGTTGGTCTACATTGATAATACCATGTTAATAGGGAAAGATGAGCTATAAACCCCTGAAAATTTCAGGGACCACGAAGGTTGGTAAAACAACCAAGGATCAGATGGTGGCATAAACCTGTGTGTTGTCTGAAACTATAACAGGATACAAGTTTACCCCAATGTCGATTACTAAAAGACATACAGGCCTCTGAAGATCTTTCTAGTATAGAGCATATATCTCCTTTCTCACAGTGCCTAAGACTACTGTACAGACTAATTTAAAAAAATGTCTCTGGAAACTAAGTCAAGGAAGAACAGGTAGCTCTTGGGAAAGTGAAAGCATCGGTTATACAAGTGGAAATACTGGATATGATATGGGAAGGGTTCCATAGCAAGATGACCACCCGCTCCCCAGCACAGGCCAGCCAGCATGCTGCCAGAGACACCTCCTCTCTCTGCTAAAGAAGAAGTCCCATGGCCAGGAGAGGCCTGGTACACAGGTGGCCCTGCCCAGCACGTGTGAAATTGACTCAGGCCAACGTAGTCAACAGGTTGAGCTAAAAGCTGTGTAAGTGGTCATCACCAGTGGGCCCAGGCCCTGGCCCCTTGATATTCACAGCTGGACTGTAGCTTGTGCACCAGCTCTGTGAAATGGCCAAGGACATAAGGAGCGGTGCAAGATAGTAGGCAAGGTCTGAAGGGGATCCCTGGGACGGGACAACTGGGATTGCCTCAAAACCTTGGACGATACGGTTCGAATCCACCAGATGCTCTGCCGGGAAAAGGAGGGACAATCTCCTCCTGTACCAGTCAGATCTGATTTGACGGTACACTCACACACACACACACAAAAAAAAACAAAAACCTTGGACGCTGATGTGTTCTCATGGAGCAGCCTCTTCACTGCTTTCCCTCCTGGGGAACCAAAGAGAAGACATTAGAGCACAAGTTAAAATCTTGCAACTTCTAAGGACATTTCCATTGCATCCACCAGAAACAAGAATTCCACACTGCCAGGCTGACTGGAAGATAGTCAAAGAGAGAGGCATAGCAAGAAAGGACAGTGATTTTTGTGGCTATTGTACAAAAATGCCCAAACATCCACCTCAATCCTGGGCACATACAAAAAGGGACACAGAAGTAACAGGTAAAACTTCCCTGATAGGGTTGGCCAACATGCTGCCCAAGTGTGCGAGGTCAATAAATTTGACTTCCACTGAGGGCTTTTACCCCTTATATGCCAGATTAGGGTTCTCCCAGCCATAATCCAGTCACATTACAAGCATCAGAAACATATCTGCCCAGATGTTGGCAAAATGGCAGGGGCCTCTAAATGCCGCAGGACCTGGTGCCAGGAAGGGGAATCATCTCTTAGGTCTTGCTGTGGGTCACCGCATAGAGGTGGATTTGTTACTTCATTCCTCTGGAGGTGCTGGAGCTGATCAGCCTAAGATGCAAACCCACCACCCTGTTCCACAAAGGGCCATAATGTTCACAGTTCACCTTAGACATGGACGCTGGATAAAACACAAAGCTCAAGAGGACAAAAGCTTGCATTTCTGCCATACGGCAAAACAGGTAGCTTTTCTCATAAACCTCTGGTGACCTCTAAAGGACGGTATAGTACACGTAGCCCTTCTGTCAAGGAAAATGTCTAAGACAATTGCTGTTTTCACACCCAAAGAAAATCCACTGGTGTGATCCTAATAGAAAGGAAAGATGTTTTCCTTTGGGCAGTTATTAACTAACCACTTGTCTTTCCAACTGTAAGTCTGGCCTTACTCTGCTTTTCTTCCCTTTTGATCGCTAATGTCTTCCGGAGCTGCTCCACAGGTCTGATGCAGTCCACCTCACAAGAAGTTGTTGGATCTGTGGGCAACTCCTGTTCTCAAAGCACTAACGCCTTGTTTTGGAATGTGGAGACTCTAACCAGAACTTGCTCACCAGTCAGAGGAGGCAGAGAGGCTGTGTGCTACCTTCTCGGGCTAAGGGGAGAAATAACAGGGCTCGTACTAAGGATTTTTTAAAGGGGAATTGAGAGAGAGAGAGAAGCAGTTTTGTCTTAAAGTAGATTGTCTGATTGTGCCAGAATAGAAAAGAAAGTAAAATTGGGAGCTCTGGTGGCCTAGTGGCAAGAAGCTACAACTACAATCCCAGAGGTGTGTGGTTCGAGTCCACCAGATGCTGTGCCGGGGAAGGAGGGGCAATCTCCTCCTGTACCAGTCAGATCTGATTTGACGGTACACGCATACAAAAAATAAAAAAAATTTAAAAAAAAAAAAA